CAAACCATGAAAAGAAATAATATTCCTCGTCATTTCTGAAGAGTAGCAACAATCATTCACATTTAAACCTAACCCACTACTAAGTACTAAAGAGTAAACTCCAATCTTGGTAACATGAGACGATTTCATATTTCCCATTATTAGGTTCATCTTCCCATGCTCCACATCCCTACTTCTTCTTAGTCTTTGCAAATCAGAACAAATATGAAAACCACATCCTGTATCAAGGACCCTAAGAACTAGCATGTGATGATTTTTAGATAGAATAGTATAAATACCTGCAAAGGTGGGCTTTATATTCCCATCCTTGAGGTCTTGAAAGTACTTTGGGCAGCTTCTCTTCCAACGTTCCCTGTCTTGGCAATAGAAGCACATTGCTTCCTTCGAATATGAAGAGGGAGGTGTAGAACCGGATTTCGCTTTGGATCAACTAGAGGACCCTTCATTGGACTTTCCCATCCAATTTGATTTAGAGGGAGCTTTCCTCCTTTTCCCTTTTACTTGTCCAATGGCCAAGGCATGAGTAGCATTACTAGGAGTGGAAATGACACTTTTCCCTTTTAAACGACTTTCAGTAGCTCTTAGTAGACGTTGAAGTTTGCTTAAGGTGACTTCGTCCTTGCTCAAATGATAAGTCATCTTGAACTGATCATAGCATGGAGACAAAGAGTGTAGGACTATGTAAATAGCCAACTCTTTATTAAAGTTCATGTTCAGCTTGAGCAGACGATCCGCATATCTCTGAATACATTGCATGTGGGTCATGATGGACTCTCCATCCTTCGTCTTGGTCGTGATGAGTTTTGTGAATATTTGTACATCTCTTTATTCGCTCTTTGATGGTACTTTTCCATCAAGTCCTCGAACATCTCTTAAGGCCAATAGTCTTTGTAGAACCACTACAGTTCAAGAGTCATAGTGGCAACCACGATGCATGACACTTTGGTCACATCTTTGATATGGGCCTTATGCTCAATAATTTATTTGGGAGTTGATCTGGACTCATCGATCTTGTACAACTCCTTATCGAGGATGTACTCCTTGTCCTCAAACCGCAAGCCCATTCAGATGTTCCGGATCCAATCACTGAAATTGGACCCATCGAATGTCACCTTGGCACAGATGCTTAAGAGCGAGAATGAGTTGGAGGATTTGTGGTTTGAGAAGCCAAAAACGTTGTTTGAAGAAGACATCTGCAAAAGAAGAAGGATAAGTTTTGACAAGGCCAAAAAAGACCGATTTTGTTTATACTTTAATAAAATCAGAGTATCTCTTTTAATAAAAACGTTTTAGAATTTGTTCCCAGAAAAACATGATAATTTCATTATTAAAGCATTTCTGGAGAAATGTATTTTTATTCATTTTAAAATATTTGGGATGTCATCGTTAATATAGAAACATAAACATAAACAATTTTTATTCATTTTAAAAGATTTGGGATGTCATCGTCAATACAGAAATATAAACATAAACAAAACTTACATTCATTATTACTAGTGATTTATACCTCCTTAATCTCTTAGTGTAATGTGACTTCATATCAACACTTGTGATATAAATAAACTGAGTGGGTCAGGTTGGGAAACCTGGTGAGTACATAGGGTTTTCAACCCACAATAAATAAGTCTATTAACTTTATCAAACCAAACAAACCCGATTACTCGTTCTCGTTATACTCACTTTACGTCCCTAAAACATCTAACACAAGGGACCTAGTCTAAGGACTTTCATCGGGGTGACAACACATGCTTCAGGGGTTCCTCAGCAATTCATGTCAAATAAGGCAACCATGTGGGGGATTGAGTACTGCTGGTGAGCACACAGTTTAAATAAACACCTACAGGTTACGAGTAGTTGCGAGCCTACTAGCGTTCCACTGGACTGTCTAGAATAGTCCATGGTTGTCATCTATACTCCACTAGATGACCAGATCAATAATATCATCTATAACGAGGCCGCTCATTATTTTATTTGGTCACATAGCAACTATTACATCTACCCATGTTTTACCCAACACATTTTGTAGATATAAAATACATATACAATTTAAATCATTTAAAACATGTATAAAATCGTTCATCCAGCATAGATAGCAAGTATACAAATAATATGCACACACAACACGTAATTTATATATAATACTTCATATCTATGTGTAAGATGAAATATGGTGATACTAAAGTTTAGGAAATATGGTTATACATATAATATCCACCACAAAAGGATCAATAAGACTATTCGTCATGATTTACTAAAGTTTAGGAAATATGGTTATACTTAATAGATAAGTATAATTCTGAAACATTAAAAAAGTTTCGATGTATGGCAGAAGGAATGGAAAGAATCAAATTTAGTAGAAAGATAAAAGTTTCTCAAATCTGAAAAGACGTGAGAATACTTTAATATCATGTTTTATGATCATCTGAATGATTGTGAGACCATATCACAATTCGTCCTCTGGGGACATCTTAGTGCATTCTTATGGCTAAGAAGAGGAGTCATGAATTATTGAAATGGTTAAATCAAGAAGGTGATACATACTTCGTTCCAAAACAATTCTTAAAGTCATACTCCAAGATTGTAATTTGAGTGACATGTCTTAAAGAAGGTTTATAACACTTGTAAAATGTAAGAGTAAAATGTTTTCTACTCTTGTACATTTGCAATTGGTAAGTTGTGATGTTTTGGATAAAACAAAGACCAACTAAGACCAATTGTGTGAAGTGTTTATGTTGATAAGAATCCGTACTCACTCTTGAATATTTGTTTGGTTGTCAAGGAATGGTTCTTGACAAAGAGAAAATTATATGTCAAGAGGACAGTGGGAGTATTAAAGGTCTTGAAAGTTTCAAGAGCTAATCAAGGATAAAACCTATAGTTTGTCGCTAGCACATGACTTGAGGTTTGTAACCTATCGTGTTGACATAATTCTTGTTTCTGTGCCTATTCTAGTAAAGTTGAGTATGTATATGAGTCCTGTGAGTTCTCAATTGTGTGCATAACAACTTGGAAGTAATGGTGGGCCCTTGTACTGCAAAGAGGCAAGAAATCAAGGTTGAAAAAGTTCAATTGATATGAGTTTAAGTTTGTCACTAACCTTGTCTTGTGGTTATGGTTTTGATAAATTCATATGGATAGGAACACATACACCAAAAAATCTAAGTGTCATAAAGTTTCTTTCCGATTCATAAAAATGATGGTGAGGAAACGCTTTCACTAAATCGATTTTAAGTAGATAGCAATTGTGATATTTGCATTCTCAAAGTCATTAGTGGAGTGTGTGTGGTTAAACGTCACACAAACATGGACTTATGAGAAATGACAAAAAGGTCTAAACATTATGATTACGACATCCCTCTTCATAATTGTTTAGACACACATGTGAACTATCTAAGGAAAGATGTATGAGTCTGAGTAGCTTAGATAAAGTTTGTCGAAGCATCTCGTATCAGAAGTCTGAACTTTGGTGATGAAAGTCAATAAAGTATTGATTTCTAGAAGTCAATTTTTGAGTATGTGTCAAAGCTAGTGGGAGCATAATTATTATGCTAGTGGGAGCATAATGAATTTTGTGTTATAATTAAGGGAGAGAAGATTATACTTCATTTTAATCCTAAAAGTTTAGTTTGAGATTTTAATCATCTTTAGTCAAGAATATATATATATATATATATATATATATATATATATATATATATATATATATATATATATATATATGAATTTTATGTTGGAATGGTTCAACATGAGGGAACTCTATATATATTGCATTCTCAAATTTCGATTATGATTACGACATCCCTCTTCATAGTCAGTTTTTGAAAACATGGCAAATAAAATATTGTAGCAAAAGACTGATCTAGTATCAAGTCTTTATGTGAGACATCATGAATCGTGTCCCATATGCTTCGAGTATAGGATAGATCACATGTGCTACAATATCTATCTGTTCTAAATTTTCCAAAAATGCCTAGAGCGTTAAGAGGAAAAAAGTAATAGAAACGGATATGACTGAAATGATTAAGCAATTGTTGAGAACAATCTGAGATTTACCTAAGATTGGTTTCTCATGGACAGTTGGAAGTATGATGTTAAATTTTGGAAAGGGCCATATTGACATATTCTGAAAAGAGGTAGATCTTGTTCAGAAGTGATGTTCAAAATGAGAATATGGAAATGTTTTCCATACTGGGAGTTAGATTTTAAGAATCTATGAGAAAGTTAGAAACTTTTATGCAAGAAGGATATTCAAAGGAATGTACTTTGAATGTGAGACTTCGTTTGCATGGAATTGATCTCCACTGGAATACTTTGTAATGTCTATTGCCAGGTCTTTGTGAATTTTGTGCATAGTCATTGCAAGAGGATCAATGCATATGAGTTTAAAATCTAACAGATTACAGTAAATGACAATAATTTGATATTCTTACATTTACGGTAAGGATTTGGGATTGTGAAATAAGCATCATTGGAATCATGTTCAATTGATCTACTTCACAAAGTAAGGATCATAGACAAACATAGTTTGCATACGTGGAGTATGGCATGACTATTGTTTAGAAAAACATAGTGTACATGCTTGGAGCATGGGAAACCTATTGTTCTAATTCAGGTGTTAAGTTGATAAATGGAAACAGAATAATGT